ATACTGTTGATATGAGGAGTAGGACATGTAGTTGTAAATCATGGATGCTCAAAGGAATACCTTGTCCACATGTCATTGCTTCCATTCTTTACAAGAATTGGGAACCAATTGACTATGTTGATGATTGCTACAGTAAGGTTACTTATCTAAGAACCTATTGTCACTACTTTCAACCAGTAACCAACATGAAAATGTGGCCTAATTCAACAAATCATCATGTGGAACCACAGTTGTTAAATTTATGCCAGGAAGGACAAGAAAGGTAAGAAACAAAGAGTGTTGGGAGACAAAAAAAAGTCTGGAAATTACCAAGAAAAGGTGTTTACATGACTTGTAGCATTAATGGGAAAAATCACAACAAAAGAAGTTGTCCATTAAATGTATGTCAGTTATATGTTATTCCTTATTTATGGTATATATTTGAGATATTTGACTTGTTATCTATTTGATGTTGTAGGATTTTGTTGTTGCTAGACCAAGTAATGAAGCAGGTACTTCTAGAGCAATTTCTAAACCTAGAGGAAGGCCAAGAAAAACACACATTACTACTACTGAAGCACCTGCTACTGATGGAGAACCTCCTAGGCCTAAGGGAAGGCATGTTAATCCTGATGCACCTCCTCCTAGGCCTAGGGGAAGGCTAAGAAAAACAACAAATAATGAGGCACCTGCAACATCAACTATAGGCAGGGGTATGACTCTTGAATCCCTTTATTTTCAAATCATTTTTATAAATTGATTTTCACACTTGTTGCAACATCAGAAAGAGACACATCACCTAATACAACACCTGCAAGGGGAAGAGGCATTGGAAGGGCTGATACAACACTTGCAAGGGGAAGAGGCATAGGCAATTAGAAGGGCTGATACAACACTTGCAAGGGGAAGAGCATCAGCATTGGAAGGGCTGATACAACACTTGCAAGGGGAAGAGGCATAGGCATTAGAAGGGTTGATATAGCACCTGCAAGGGCTGATACAACACCTGCAAGGGGAAAAGGCATAGGCATTGTAAAGGGTAGGGGAAGGAGTAATACAACTGTTCAAGCACCAGGAAGGGGCAGGGGTTTCAAAGTCCCTCTAAGTGGTATAGAAGTGCCAAAGAGGATATCTTTGCATGAGTGGTTCGAAAATCCAACAAGTTACACTAAAAATGCTCCACCAAATCCACATGTTTCACCTATTCATTCTCAATCTAATGCAGTACCTACTAAAAGGTCCAGAATAGTTGGAATGGGAGTTTTTATTGCTAAAAATGGCTTACCAACATACAATGTAAGTCCTAAAACCTCTGTTAACTTTGTATTAACTTTAATGTTGTCTTAATTTTGTTCCTACATATTACAGTCAGGACTGTCAAGTAATAGGATATTACATACAAGTTCTGGACAGCCTATCAGTTCTGTTGATGTTACTGGGGACCTTGGTTTCAAACCAAGAACTGGTGTAAGGTGGAAGGGGAAAAAAACAATGACATCAAATCAACTTGAAGTGATGAGGGATGAGATGAGAGTGAACAAAAGACAGAAAAAGGCTTCTTCACAATCCAAGGAACAATGGAAGTAGTTTAAACATTTGGATAGTTTTTTTTAGATGAAAGATGATGTAAGATTGTTAGTGGGCAAGTTATGTCACCAAACAATGTGATCTTATTTACCATGTTTGTATGTTTTGAAGTTGTGATGCTCCAGTTGAACATCTATGTTAACTTGATACAGTGATTTTGTTTATCAACTAATGTATGTTACATTTGCTTGTTTTAATCCAATTGTGCTTTCTATTGTACTTTGTATCCAATTGTGTTTTGTATATGCATTTTACATTAAACATAAACACTTTCGAAGTAGTAACATACACGATAACCATTCATAGAAACAAGGATATTGCATCCAACACAAAATCAAGTTCATTGACTATAACCATACATACTAGCAAACATAAACACTTTGAAACTTACATCAACCAAAAGAAATCTTCAACTAGCTATTTTGATTCAAACAACAACCTACAATAACATAAGGAAATCTTGCAACTACCTATTATGATCCAAACAGCAACATCAATTACTTATTTTGATCCAAACAACAACATACATGATTAAGAGACACAACATGAACATTGTATTAATGCAAAAGTAGCTACTCCATTTCTTCTTCACCTCAATCAGTTTGTCTACCTCTTCACAATCTGAAAGCACTCCTTCCATCTCTTTCAGACTAGATTGTTCTTCCAACTGGGTAAAGACAGATTGAGCTTCCATCTCTGTAATTTGTCAATCATTAAAGCCATTGATTTCTTCCATCACCTTTATTTTCTTTACATTTGCAACTAATAGTTCATTCATGTCCTTCATTTTCTTCACCAATTTATGAATGATGAACTTAGAGCGTTCATTAACCACATCACTCCATCGAAAATATTTACACTTTTGTGATCCATAGTATGGGCAAGACCAAAATCTTCTACTCAGATTATTATCAGACCAAGAAGTTTTCAAAGAGAGCAACAAACTGTGAAAGCATCGCACTTCCGCATTCAACTTTGGATCATCTTTATCAAAACAAATGTTATTCAAATCCAATTTTACATCTTCCATGGATAACCCTAACAAAAAAAATAGAAATCAGAGAAAAGAAAGCACTAAATAACAATAGAACAAATAAGATCTAGAAAAAAAAATATGAAATTAAAGAAAATAATAAGTTTAATACAAAGCTTACCTGACCCTTCAATGGTGGTCTTTCGATTTTGTATTCCAGAGAAAGAGAAGGGTGTAAAATGAATTAGAATTATAGGTAAAAAGAAATAGATATAGTTTAATCCCTGTATTGATACGTGGCATTTAATGATTGGCCTATAAATAATTAACTGGTGCCCTACGCGCCTATGCGTCGTGTTTTCATGCACTTGACCAGATGGGCAAATATAAATGTTTAAAATACGGTATTAAATAGTCTAGGTGGATAATAGGTCCTCATCAAAGTTTGATATCGTAACTGCTATTTCGGCCAAAGTTCGGGTATTTTTCAGACCCTTTTCCCTTTTTCTCGTTTTGTGTTAGATATGTACATATATTTTTAGGAATTTTTTTCGTGTACCGAATATAACATAAATAAAAAAAATATTTTTAAAGAAGTCTTGTGGTGGCAAGTAAAACATATTTTTGATATGTATATATATCTAACACAAAACGAGAAAAAGAATTGGAAGCGGAGGGTTAGGTGAAGTGGGTATAAAAATTTTTTAAAAAAATAAAATAATATCTAATTAGTATTTGAAGGGGAGGAGAGGGGGAAGATGAAGTAAAAAAAATCAAATATTTTTATAAAAGAAATTTAAACTAAAAAAACTAAAGAAAATGTGTGTGCGTGTGTGTGTGTGTGGGGGGGGGGGGGGGTTACGGTGAGAGGAAGTGATGAGGTGGAGTAAGAAAAATATTTTACATTTTATTTTATAATATTTTTTTGGGATAATAAATTTTTAATCTTTAATTTAAACTAATACTTAATTTATTTAATTTTTGTCAAGGTGAAATATATTGTCTATGTGGAGTGTGATGTGACAATTTTTTTTAAGTAAAAGAGAGGGTGTTTTTCTCAAAATTATTTTATACATACTATGATGAGAGTGTTATAAAAGAGAAAAGTGTGTTTCTCAAATTAATAAGTGATAGTTTATGTATGAAATTCACACTCTCAATAATTTATTTATGAAACTTAAAAAAAATTAGGTGTGTTTTTGACACTTATCTCATTATTATAGGGGTCGTTTGGTAGAGTGTATTAGCAAAAATAATGCATGCATTAATTATATGTATTATTAATCCCTTGTTTGGTGCATTTTTCATGGTATGTATAACTATTGTTCTATTGTGTATTGAGGAGTGTATTATTAATACCTAGAAATCCATGGTATTAGTAATGCAAAGGATTTAATGCATGCATTAATATGGTTAAAAACTCAATTACCTCTCAAAAATACTTTTACATCTTTTCCACCATAATTGTGAAAGATACTTTTGTAAATAAATATTTTTATACGATGCATATTATTTTTAATACACCAAATCAAACAATGCATAAGAAATAATCTATGCATAACTAATACGAGTATAACTAATACATGCATTACTAATGCCTACATTACTAATACACTTTATTGAATATTATTTTTATATATTCTATCAAACGACCCCAGTGTCTAGAGTGAGGTTTCAAATGGTTGGTTCTCTTACTTTAAGTCTTTGTTTTTATCTTATCATTACACTAAGTGAGATATGCCTCCAATATTGCAATACTACAATCTGCAATAAAAAAGTTTTTGTTAGTAATGGTCTCATGATCATTAATGGTATTCATTAGTAGTGTTGTAATGGTTTCTCTTTATAGTTCATATCGAGATTGGCTTGGTTGTTATGAGGAATCCTTTTGAGTTTGACAGTTTGGGAAATCTTGACATCTCTTTTCAGGTTAATATGGAGCTTTATTAAGTGTTTTATATAATAATGAACTAACAGGAAAAAGTTAATCAGTGACTATTGGTTACTGCGTACTGTTCATTAGTGCTTAGTGTATTGTAATTCTCAATAAAAATTGTGTGAATTGTTAACAAAAATCGAAATGATAACATCACTAATTGATAAATCAATAACCGATAAATCGATATCTTAACAGTTCCATATCGATTTAGCATTATTACAAACCGATAATCGATAAGTAAAATTGATAAATTTCAAAATCGAACGGACCAATACGCAACCCTAAATGGTGAGCTCTTATGCTAGATTATGTCGTTTAAAGACAACTCGGACATGAGTACTCCAACAAGCTTCAAGGATTGTTAATGGTGTTTGAATTGATTTGGGGATGAGTACAGTATTTTGTTGAAAGTTGTAATTTTCTCTCGATTAAAAATGTCTATTTGTTTCTCTCCAGTTCAATTACCTGTTTAGTGCTTATACCAGCAGTTATTGCAACGGACTCCTGCTATTAAAGAGGTGAACTTCAAATTCCCAGTGGACTAAATGCGCTTGTTACCACATGAACTCAAACCTCTCCTATTGACATGTAAACATAATGCATTGATTTCTCAAATTCACGCTCTTATGGTAGTATCTGGGTTATTTTCCCATGGAAACTCCATTGCCCCATTAATATCATCATATGCCAAAGTGGGTGATCTCAAATCTGCCCACAAATTGTTTGATAAAAGTCCCCTGAGGAGAGTAGATTTTTGGAATGCTATGATCATTGCCTATTCAAAAAATGAGTTCCCTTTTGAGGTTGTAAATGTTTATAATCAAATGGTCCTTGAAGGTGTCAAACCTGATAGCTCAACTTTTACTGTGGTACTTAAGGCGTGTACGATATTGCAGGATTTGGAGAAGGGTGAAGAGATTTGGGACAAGGTTGTTGAGTGTGGGTATAAAAATGATGTCTTTGTTGGGTCCTCTGTTTTGAACCTGTATGCCAAATGTGGGAAGATGGATAAAGCAGGAGCTGTATTTGAGAAAATGCAGAGGAGGGATGTTGTTTGTTGGACTACAATGATAACGGGTTTTGTACAGAGTGGGAAAGGGAGAGAGGCTGTGGATTTGTATAGGAGGATGCAAAGGGAAGGTATGGTAGGTGATGGTGTTGTTATGTTGGGTTTGATGCAGGCTTCTGCTAATATTGCAGACACGAAATTGGGTTCGTCAGTTCATGGCTATATGATCCGCAGAGCCCTTCCTATGGATGTCAATATACTGACTAGCCTTGTTGATATGTATGCTAAGAATGGAGAGTTGGAGATAGCTACTCGTGTATTTCGGAAAATGCCTTTTAGGAATACTGTTACTTGGAGTGCTTTGATTTCTGGCTATGCTCAAAATGGCTTTGCTGTTAATGCTCTTCAACTGCTGATAGAGATGCAACTGTTAGGATTCACACCTGATGTAGCTTCACTTGTAAGTGCACTTCTAGCATGTTCTGATGTTGGCTCTTTAAGATTGGGTAGATCAATTCATGGTTATGCTGCCAGGAAAGTCATCATGGATCAAGTTTTAAGTACTGGATTGATTGATATGTATGCTAAATGTGGGCTCATTTCTTGTGCCCGTTCCATTTACGACCGCATCAGTTCTAAGGACTTGATATGTTGGAATACGATTATAGCATGCTATGGGATCCATGGGCAAGGAAGAGAGGCACTTACCCTTTTCCAGCAGATGAAGGACGAGATAGAACCAGATCATGCAACTTTTGCTGCTCTTCTTTCAGCTTTGAGTCACTCGGGATTAGTGGAGGAAGGTCGACATTGGTTTGATGACATGGTGAATGAATACAAAATTAAACCTTCTGAGAAGCATTATGCTTGTTCAGTTGATCTTTTGGCTCGAGCTGGTGAAGTTGAAGAAGCTAAAGAACTCATCACTTCTATGGAAACTAAACCTGGGCTTGCTGTTTGGGTTGCCCTTCTATCTGGTTGCCACAAACATAAGAAATTTTCCATTGGAGAATTGGCAGCAAACAGGGTACTTGAATTAATTCCCGAGAACACAGGTACTTTCGTGTTGGTAGCGAATTTCTTTGCAGCAGCAAAAATGTGGGATAAAGCAGCTTCTGTGAGGAAGCTTATGAAAAAGACAGGGATGACAAAAGTTCCTGGCTACAGTGCTGTAGAGGTAAATGGGAGACTCCATGCTTTTCTTATGGATGATACAAGTCACCCTCAATATGAACAGATAATGGGACTTCTATGCAATCTGGAAAATGAGATGAAAGCTATGGGCTATGTCCCAAAGACTGACTTTGTGCTGCAGAATCTTGAAGAAGATGTCAAAGTGAAAATGTTGGGTATTCATAGTGAGAGACTTGCCATTGCTTTTGGGCTCTTAAACACCGCACCAGGAACCAGATTACTTATCACAAAGAACCTGAGGGTCTGTGGTGACTGCCATGAAGTAACAAAGTTTATCTCTGTTATAGTAAAAAGAGAGATTATCGTAAGGGATGTTAAACGATTTCATCACTTTAAGGATGGAACATGTTCCTGTGGTGACTACTGGTGAAACATGTCTTGTCATGTAAAGCTCTATCATCCTTGTGAGATACTGGATAAAAACTAGGAATACGATGAAAATGTATTTGTTGCTGCCTTGGAATTCAATCGGAGGTCCACCTAAAAGCTTATTATGGTCATCTGTGGAATTTATAGACTGATGTCATCTGGTGGATGAGCAGAAGGATACTTTTGCTGCCTGTTTTCCCCGACTCCTGGAATTTTTGGGCCGCCTTTAATATTAGGAGTAGTCTGCACTTGTGTCCTAAAATATCTCCTGGTGGGGCACTGACACTGCAGGATGTTTGTGCACCATTGCGTGACCAGTGTTTATGTAAATCAAGAATGTGTCTAGCAGAGAAAAATAATAATTCAGAATCTGAATGGGATTTACATAGTTGCTTCGATCACATTCTGAGGGCAGGAAAAATAAGTTGCTTCCACTTCTTCTCTGAGAGAGGCAAGCCAACATAAATTTGTACCAAGCTTCCAATAAGGTGGTGAGTGGTATTTTGAAGAATCAACTATCCTGCAAGTTCCATCAAGGTGACAAAATTGAAATGTATGTGTCGGTATCAAAGATGCAGATGATATGTAGCATACTTTCTCAAGTCTGACTGCTAAATGTAAAGATTGCTTGTACTTCTTTGGAGTTAGCGGATTGATTCTTTCCTTGATTAATAGCTGAACTGGAGTTGAAGTTTGACCTCCAGTCTCCAGCCGAAAGAGTGTTTTTGTGTTTGGTAGCACTAACTGGAATGTGGTGAAGCACTTGCGACACAATTCGATAGACATACACAAAAAGGTTTCCTGCTTTTCTTCACTCATTCATAAGTTTGACACAAAATGTTCAGGTGTACAACTTTGGCAGAACTTAGTCAGTTGACAGGCACCCTAGATTGTCACATCCTGAGTGGTTATAATCTCTGTCCGAGATCATTTACGTTGGGAACCAAGACTTGCCAGTTCTTCAAGTAATTGGTAAGGTGCTGTCAAGGAAGAATGAATGATTATACAGTGGATTGGTGTATCATTTCTTCAAAGCTTTTACTGCTTTGAATGAATTTAGGAGCGCTATTGCGAGACTGTCTATCGTTTATCAATAGCCTACATGTTAACAACCAAAGAACGAGAGGTTTATTCTTTATAATGAGCCTCCAGTGGCTTTCGATCATCCCATTTACTGGCTGAAGGAATGCTTTTCTCCCTTGTTAGCTATTAACATTGCATTTGTTTCAAGTTGTTTACAAGAGGAAAGCTTTTGCACACATATTTCTGATTGAGTGAAGAATAAAGATAACACACAATTAATTGTTTGGATTGACACAAGGTAGTGAATGTTAACAATGTCTATATCTGAACAACAATACTACAAGATTCTCATTGAGTTACAACAATTCCCAAAATCCCTTCTGCTAAAAGAAGGGTCAAGACATGCAGGCACATAATGTTCAATCTTATCAAAAAGTTGTAAAATTTGAACCAACTGCTTCTGTCTATTTTTCTCAACTCCGATAACCATGAGCTCGATTCTGAAGATTTTGATTGTCTTCTAATAGACGGTCGTATTCTAAAAGAAGATCTGCTGCTTGTTTTTGGAGAGCAGCAACATGAGCTTCCGCAGTTTCAACACGTTTGTCTTTCTCCTCTGACTCCAACTTAACCTTCTTCAGTGTCTCTGTTAAACTAGAGAGTTGTTTCTGCGATAATTTTATTTCCTCAGCAGCTTTATCTGCTTTCTCCTTAAACTGCAGCTTTTCTTTCTCAAGCCTTTCAAATTCTTTCTTTGAAGATCCCGCACTACTACGCAAAACAATCAGCTTCCGAAGGTAATGGTGCATACGATCAATTAAGAATCCAAGAAACAGAGAAAATCCTGTGTGATATATGCCCCATTCAAATGCAGATAAATTAGCATAAAAGGAAACAAGTAATGAATAAGAAAACTCGGAAAATGCAAAATTCCAGTAGCATGCATATTTTTATTTGTCATATATAATGCTTTTTTTCAGTGGTTAGCAGTGTTAGCAGATCTATACTTCAGACTGAAGTTATGGTTGCAAGACCAAAAAACCTAAATCCATTTTGACTGCTGCCTAGGAGGAACAAACTCTTATGCTTTCTCAACCTTAAAACATAATCGCAGAAGCACATCTACATACTACCACAATTTAAGACTTGTAAGTAATGGTATCTCCTTCACTCAGACAATTAACTGTTAATCTTGAGATGGACTACCTATGTTTGCACATTCTTACTCCCCGTAATCATGTTATATCAAATGGAATTTACAAAGCAGCTTCATCGGAGAATCAGGGAACGACCCGAACAAGAGAGTGCCTCAGAACATTTATTTTACTGAGGTATAAGATGAACATTTTGAAAGAGTGGGAGTACCATCAATAGAATATCAACTGTGATGGTTGAGATATGACTCTATTAAGTTCAGGTAAAACGACTTCTAGACAAATTTCTCTTCAAATTCCAAGAAATTTTAGAGAACTATTTTACTACACTTGAATATTGTTTGAGACTAAAAACAGCAAAAAAGCTCTTCCAGTGGCCAGCATTGAAGCAGCTACTTTGCTAGACTCACTATTATCCCTAACTTAAGATCAAGAATTAGGAGGAACTGGTGTTCCGCAAGTAACTGTGTCAATTGCACAGAACTTATTTTGACACCTAGGAGACAACAATTCCCTCCCCCATCTTCCCCCGAACCCAACAAAAAAATAATAATCAAAGATTTAGCTTTTCAATCAAATAAGCTCAAACCTAGCATTACAAGTGTTAATGACAATACACGAGAGGAAGAGCGAAGAACACGTGATAGTTTCTTATCACATCTCAACAACAAATTGTTCATATTGGTATAAGCTCAACTCTAAAAGTATCTCCTTTCAAACTAGTTTAGTACAACAAACAATTCAATTAAGTTCAGTTCCTACAAATTCCAAATAACTCATCAAAAAAATGCTTGAAAACAATCTTCCTTCCATCACAGTCATCCATGAGAATAGCTACAGATTGATGCATAAATTACGAATTATAAAGATTCATTAAATATCAATTGATAAGCGAAAATGCTACATGTCCCTGCTAATTATCTTCATCCACATTCAAACCTAAAAGTAGCAGCCAACAAATCAGAGAGAGTCTATAATAAATTTTAAAGATTGCGCCCCTCGTAAACAGAATACTACTATCATCAAGGATAACAACTGAACCAAGAATCTGATTTTCATTTGCAACACATTTTTAATATCAGAAACCAATAACAAGGAATGTAATTGAGTTATTTGAAAAGGGCTAAAGAATGATACCCATGAGAGTAGCCTCTAACAAGTTGGTTCTCCACAAAACCTGATCCATTGGTGTCATTGTACCAATCTTAGCCCCCTTATTCTGAATCTTGATAATACTAATAAAGTTGGAAAATAAGATAGCTGATATAGTACCAGCAATTGTTAAAACAGTACCCTTTCTCATTTTCACCTGATCCAAACACTTCATCACCAGTTCCCTCAGTGGCCCAATCTTCACCATTAGAAGAAATGCCACCATACCCTCCAAACAAAGAACCATAAACAACAACTGAATCATTTTTACACTTAAAAAAAAATCAACCTTTTTTATACCTTCAACTAAAACCCCAAAATTTCTTCAAAGAACCAACATCATAAAAAACCCAAATCAAGAATTGGGAAGAAGCCCCTGTAGATGACCAAGAAAAGAAGTAGAAGTAAAAGATGTCTAATACTCCACTAATTAAAAACCTAATCTTTACAACCCATCTTTAAAGAAGTGTAAAAGGATAAAGCTAGTAACTTTAGTAGAAAATGTTAAGGGTTTTGAGCTGCAGATCTATGGAATTAGTTGCTAATTAGAAAAAAAGAAAAAGATAAAAACTTTCTTTAAGCAAAACCCAGTTTTTGGTTCAACTTTTAACTTTTGGTTCCTCTTAAGCAAATGGTGTGTTGGATTGTTTTGTTTTTCACTTTACTTGGGAAAAGGAATAGCAAGAAGAAAAGAAAGAGAAATGTGAATTATTAGTAGTACACTGCTATTTTGCTAGTAGTAATATTGTCTGTGTGTTCAGACATTACAAGTTGGACGGACGATTGGGCTTTGGTCTTCCTGTTATATATGTTGTGTAGTTAGTACTACTTGACTTCTTTTGTCTGCCCATATCTACCTACTTATTTAGTTTTGATCGTTTTAGATTTCATGTTTTTTAAGAAATTAAGTAAGTTTATTATTATCTTTTGAAGTCATATTTTTAATAAATAAACATAAATTAAGTTATTTTAATTAACTAATTTGATGAATGAACATTGATTGGTTATTTAGTTTTTTTATATTAGTCAAATGTATGCTTTAAAAGTTAATAACGTTCAAAAGGATAAAATAGAAAGAATAATGTCATTTAAGCATTAATTTTGTGAAATGACAAATATTAAGAAGTTTTTTTAAAAAAAAATAAAAACGACATATAAATAGGAATGAAGAGAGTAATTGCCAATAAGCCCTTACCTTTACCACTTGGAATTTAAAAAATAAATCAAAAAAAGGTTAAACTTTTTCTCAAAAATTGCTTGAAATTGAATAAAAATGTCATTCATTTATAATAGGGAAAATTTTCAAAACAACAATATTTTAGCTTTTAGTGGGACTCCTTAGCAACAGTTTCATTATTTATTAAAAATATCATTATTTTAGTTTGTTAAGGGATTAGTTATGTATTTATTTTATTTTGATTAATTTGAAAGAATACAAATAATTAATAACATAACAAAGAAAATCATGGAACAAAAAATTCAAAAAAGGTAAAAAGAATTTAAATACAAATCAGTTACGTTTTGAAAAGAGCATAAATAGCCATCTTTCCGTCGAGCCTTTTTTTGCTTTCTTCTTAAGAACATCAAAAAAAAATATTAAAATAATTTAGTTTGTCTTCTGAATCATTCATCTGATAACTTTCAAAGCTTCTTCAAGTTGAATACGACATATTTTTGAAATAGAAT